ATGCTAGGTACACAGGTGATCGGAGAAGATGGCGAAGTAATCGCCCGCCGAGGCCCTGGAAGACCACGAAAGACTCCTGCTGCTATGAATAACGTAGCAACATGGGCCACGATGCCAATAACCTTCGGTACGGCAACCCCGTCGACCGTAATCCAATCCCGGACTGTGACACGGGAAAATCAGGCAGAAGGAAGCGATGCACCGCTGTGCAATATGACCCAATGAAAGGCACAAATACGTGGAATATCATACAGTATAATGTGAATAGAAGCAAAGATAAAGTACAGCACCACTTTCTCCAAGAGCTGAACCCCGAGGAGCACCATGTAGTAGCAGTCCAAGAGCCCTGGCGAAACCCATCGAATAACTTAACCCTTAAGCACCCAGGATATCACTTGGTATCATCAGATAGACCGAACAGCCGAACTTGCATATACGTCAGCAAGCGGCTAGCCACAGATAAATGGAGAGTCGAAAATGTCCCCGAAGAAGTTGGTGGAGACATAACTTCGATCAGCCTCCAGACCGAACAGGGAAAAGTGAGGGTTCATAATATTTATAATCCCCCACCTAAATCCCATAGCAGCACAGAGCTGGGGACACTTCAATGGATTCCTCAAATTCTAATGCAGGATGACCTCCACATATTGGTTGGAGACTTCAATCTCCACCACCCAAAATGGGGAGGCCAGGCAGCCACGTCACACCACAAAGGCTCGGAAATTCTTATCGACATGCTTCAAGGGTGTAACATGGAACTTATACTGCCCGAAGGAACCGTCACTTGGAAGAGTAGAGGGAGCCAAAGTACTCTTGATCTATCGTTTGTCTCAAAGAAACTTGAGGAGACCGTCTTAAGGTGCCAACCAGCAAACGAGCTTGAGGCATCTTCTGATCATATTCCCATACGCACTGAATTACAAATCCAGCCAATTCCTCAAGTGGAAAAGACAACTTATCCCCAGTGGAAGAATGTAAATTGGGAAGCATTCAACGAACGACTTGCCACAATTCTGTACCAGAACCTGGATGATAGTCAGCTAGACTCCAGGCAAGCTATTGACAAGAGAGTTATGGTTATTACTAGTGCTATCCAACAAACAACTGAAGAAATGGTGCCTAAGTCGAAACCTTCTCGATATGCAAAGCCGTACTGGAATAAGGAATGTTCAGCTGCAGTGAAAAGGGCAAGGAGAGCAAGAAGAAAATGGACCCGTGACTGCAACGAGGAGAACTGGATTGGATACCAAGAAGCCACAAACCAGAAGAAAAAGCAGATAAAGAAAGCCAAAACCCTAGGCTGGAGAGCTCTCGTTTCAGAGATAACAGAAGATCCAATTAAAATTTGGAAATTAGCTAGATGGGCCAAGAAAAATGACGGAGAAGTAGGGAGGTCTACTCTGATACCAGACTTCAAGGACGCCAAAGGAAATACTGTCAAAGAAAACAAGGAGAAAGCCAACATCATGGCTTCTCATTTTTTCCCACAACCCTCGCAGGCAGATACCAGCGATATTGCTAACACAATCTATCCCGCGGAAATAGAGACAATCTCCAACCAAATGACTGAGGATGAAATCGAAGAAATGGCAGGATCCCTACCCAGCGACAAAGCCCCAGGTCCGGACGGTATACCGAATCGAGTCTTAAAGCAGTGTAGGAAGACTCTGAGCAAAATACTAACAGTCTTGTTCAATGCCTGTCTCAAAATTGGATATCATCCGAGAGAGTTCAAGGATTCTACCACTATTGTCTTGAGAAAGCCTCAGAAGCCAAACTACGACACTCCAAAAGCTTATAGACCGATCGCACTTCTTAACACTATAGGTAAGCTGCTAGAAAAGCTGGTAGCCAATCGTCTCTCCAAGGCAGCCGAATCTTACAATCTCTTTCCCGAAGAGCAGATGGGTGCTCGACCACAACGGTCCACCATCTCGGCAGTAGAGCTTCTCACGGAACAGATTCATACAATTTGGGGTAAAGATAAGAAGCGAGTGGCCTCTCTGTTAAGTCTAGATATTTCGGGAGCCTTTGACAACGTGTCCCACCAAAGGTTACTACATAACCTGAGGGAAAAAAGAATTCCGGAGTGGATTATACTATATATAAAATCCTTCCTCGAAGATAGAACAACCACCATGGTACTGGGATCATTCCGAGGAAAGAAGATCTCTACCAGTACAGGAATACCGCAAGGCTCCTCTCTATCACCTATACTGTTTCTATTTTTCGTCAGTACACTCCTTCCAATGTTGAACACTTCCTCTACATCAGCAGTAGGATTTGTTGACGATACCAACATTCTAACTTGGTCCAATACAACGGAGGAAAACTGTCGAGAGCTCGAGAGGCAACATAAGGTCTGCGAGCAGTGGGCAAAAACGCACGGAGTCAGATTTGCGCCTGAGAAGTATCAACTAATGCATTTCTCACGAGCTCGGAAGAGACATGATCTTAAAGCAACAGTCCAGATCCAAAGTCACACTACAGTGCCACAGCCTTCCCTGCGCGTCCTTGGAATCTACTTTGATCCAAAGCTCAACTGGGGGGCGCACATCAAAAGTCTAAAGCTGAAAGCAGAGACACAGGTCCAGGCCATAAGTAGGCTGACGCAGTCCACGTGGGGAGCCACATTTCACAAGTCAAAGCTACTTTATAGCGCAATAGTGAGACCAGCCCTTACGTATGGGTCGCCAATCTGGGCTGAGGCCGGGCCAGGAGGTAGAATACCCGAGAGGATAGTCAAACCCCTTCGAAGCTCTCAAAGAAATTGTCTGAAAGTAGTAACTGGAGCATACAAATCGACAAGCACCAGGGTGCTGGAACATGAATCTGCTACTCTTCCGATGGAAATCTACTTGAAGCAACAAAGGGCTCAGTATGTAGGCCGCTCAAGTCATCTACCAGTCCAAAAGACTATTCAATCAGCTTGTGCTAAAATAAAACTTCCCAGAAGAGGAAGAGAAGATATTAGAGCACATAATAGAAGAGCAGACCTTGTCTACTGGAAAGAGATTTGCGGAGAGGAGAAATCCAAGGACTTACAAAAAGAAGCAATAAGAGTTGCAGCGTACCTAGAATGGGCGAAATCTTGGTCAGCCACAAAGCGAACTCGACAGCCTAAAAGATTTGCTTCAGCAGATCCTAAAACTTGGGCAGCAGCAAAGTTTTACCAATGCCGCCATTCTGGACGTACAAAAATAAGCTTCCGGGAGTCGCCATTTTCTCTCCACAAAAACCTGACGAGGGCCCAAAGTAGCTTAGCAATCCAAATTCGAAGCGAGCATATCGGGCTCAATTCGTATTTGCATAGAAGAAAAATACCAGGAGTCTACAATCCATGCTGTCCGTGTGGCTACCAATCACAAAATCCCAAGCACATGATCATGTCCTGCCCTAAGTGGTCAATTGGTAGAGGAGAAATCTGGAGACAAGCCCGAAATCGCTCCTTTGAAGCAATGACCAACAATCCTAGCGATATGTCAAGAATCACACGATGGATTCTTAATCATGGTTGGATAGAACAATTCCGCTTGACAAATGCAGTCGAAATGCTGCTCAGGGAACGAGAGGGAACATGTGGAAGGTTGGGATTGATAGAAGGGACGTGATTGGTACACATCGACGGCGTTACAGTGTAACTGTACTTCCTGAAGGATAAACTGCAAACTATAAGAATTAAATCAGAAAGCTTGGGGGGTTTTCACCGAGAGGTTTCCTCCTATGTAAATATATAGATAGGTTTATAGCCACCTGCATGGGCCCATAGGGCGCCAAATCAGGATAATGAACACAAATCAAAAATAAATAAATAAATAAATAAATAAATAAATAAATAAATAAATAAATAATAAATAAATAAATAAATAAATAAATAAATAAATAAATAAATAAATAAATAAATAAATAATAAATAAATAAATAAATAAATAAATAAATAAATAAATAAATAAATAATAAATAAATAAATAAATAAATAAATAAATAAATAAATAAATAAATAAATAAATAAATAAATAATAAATAAATAAATAAATAAATAAATAAATAAATAAATAAATAAATAAATAAATAAATAAATAAATAAATAAATAAATAAATAAATAAATAAATAAATAAATAAATAATAAATAAATAAATAAATAAATAAATAAATAAATAAATAATAAATAAATAAATAAATAAATAAATAAATAAATAAATAAATAAATAAATAAATAAATAAATAAATAAATAAATAAATAAATAAATAAATAAATAAATAAATAATAAATAAATAAATAAATAAATAAATAAATAAATAAATAAATAAATAAATAAATAAATAAATAAATAAATAATAAATAAATAAATAAATAAATAAATAAATAAATAAATAAATAAATAAATAAATAAATAAATAAATAAATAAATAAATAAATAAATAAATAAATAAATAAATAAATAAATAAATAAATAAAATAAACCTCATGCTCCACACACACAACTCCATCTTTAAAACTTCCATCAGCAGAGCAAATTAAATTTGTAAATTCAAGCCTGTTCTCTAAGTAGAGGGTATGGCTCCTCTGGCTCGCGGCAGAAAGCGCGAGGTGTCTGAGGCACTGGATGCAAAGCATCGCATTCAGAAACACGCAAGCAACTCTGGAAGGGGGCAGTTAAGTGATGGCATTGCCACCCGCTCAAATTCGAAGCTGAATGCAGCAATCTCTGGATTCGCTGTTTCTCGAGGACTTCAGGCATTAGTGCCCCAAAATGCTCCTCCCGATACTCACCAGGTCTTGAGTCCTAGGGAAAAGGACACGATCGAAGAAGATCAGTTGACAGATAATAAATTTCCTGAAAGTACAATCCCAACGCAGCAAATAGATGCTGACAAAGAGGAAACCAGCGTGACCCCAATGGACACAGAAAACAGCGAGCCCGCAGGGAGCTACCGTACTTCCCTCATGTCAAAAGCCAGAGGTTTACTTAATCTAGTTGGACCGGACCTTGAAGATATGGAAAAGGAATGCTCGGGAGCAGGTGTAGACTTCTTAGCCCTTATCTCAGAGGGGGTATCACGAGCCATCAGAGGACAGAAGATTTACAAGAGCTCAATGAACGAGCAAGAGCAAAAGCCCTCCACTCAAAGTGACAACAAGAGGACATGGGCCTCCAAAGCGGCTGCAGGGGTCTCGACCGGAACAAACATTGATGTAGGTCGGCCCATGACAAGACCGACGCCTCCCCAGAATCAGAGCAAAGAAAACAAAAGGATCATAATTTGGCTAGATCGAGAACACGAAGCTCGAAAAGCAGACCCGTTTTTACTCCGCCAACGAGTCCAAAGGCTGATCCCCGACCCATCACTTGTTGTTGACGCATGGTAGGTTCCGTCCGGCGTGGCAGTGCTCGCCGCATCGCCGGCAAAAGCAGCTAGTATTTTACAGCATAGTGAAGCCATTGCTGCAAGATTTGATAATGCTACGGTGGAAAGACAAGAGACTTGGACGACATTTGTTGTCGGCCCTATTCCAAAGAAAGTTAGCACATTAGACGGAGCCTATGACCCACTTGAAGGGCTTTTACTAGAGGAGCCGGCGATTCGAGCTATGAAAGATGACACTCCTATTCGACACATAGCCTGGACACGTCGGTCTACAGACTCTCTGAGCCCGTTTGGGCACATCAGAATTCATGTTCCTGAGGCGAGGGCACACAAAGTGCCATCCCGGATGCAGCTTTTTGGACAAGCAACAAGCGTCCAACGAGTTCCGAACAAGCAGCTATTGCGCACCTGAAATAAATGTTTTGGCTTCCACGCCACGAGAACCTGCGCCCGACAATTTAAATGCGCCTCTTGCGGAATGGATTCTTACGAAGGTCCATGCTCACGACAAATACAGTGCCTAAGTTGCCGTGGGCCTCACGAATCTACTGATACCTCATGCCCGGCTCGCCAACGCAGAGATCATGGTGTATTCGTTCGCCCAACAGGGGCACAGTTGCGACATATACGCGCCGCTGGACGCAGAGAGCTTGCCAATACTTTGAGACATACTCAGTAATTGGCCGAGAGCGGTGCCGAGACCCTCACTGAACTCATCCCTACCCATTAAATATAGTCAGGAGACAGAAAAATTTAAAAATCAGACCAATCCGAATCATGCAAGAAAATTTTGGAAGAGGAGCTTACGCGCACAATATGGCTCTCCAGCTCGCACACGAGAATAATATTGACGCTCTACTCATACAAGAACCTTTGACATTAAAAGATCTAACAGCGATAAGGTCAATTTCACACCCAAAATTTGCGCTTTACTCACCACTAGATGAATGGCATACTCGCCCCAGAGTTCTAACCTATATTAGCAGTTCACAAGGACTGCGCTCATACTAAAGTGCAATTAATACTTCTCCAGACCTACTGCAGGTGGTTATCTCCAACGGGCGAGGTCGGAAAATAGCTGTATGGAATGTGTACAACGCTCCAGCTGAGTCAATCAGAGCGGGAGAAGGCCTTAAAAGGTTAATCGAATCGACTGGTACTCCTGAATTTTTCGGTGGAGATTTTAATTTGCGACACCCAATCTGGGACTCGCATGCCACGTACACTTCTCAGGGGGGCGCAGACTTACTAGAATGGGCAAGAGAGAAGGAACTTATTCTCTTAAACCCAACGGAAATGTCGACACACAGGGGCGGCGGAACGTTAGATCTAGCTTTCTCCTCCCTAGCCGGAGCTAAATGTGAAATCCCTTCTGACCTTCACACCACATCCGACCACGAAACAATGGTGACCAACTTAACTGGTGAATACAATGCGAATGAAAATAGTGAGAGGCGGCTACGGTATGACTCAATTAACGAAGTTTTATTCACAACTCTATTGAGATGCCATAGCAATCCCCTAGATCTTTCGACAGTAGACGACATCGAAAAAGAAGCGGAAAATATTGTTAAAGTGATCCGAACGGCAATCCAGTCTACCTGCCCTTGCGCCAGAGAGAAGAACCATGGCACCGTCTGGTGGAACAAAGATTGTAAGCTCGCAGCTCGTAGGTACTACGCAGCAAGACGGAAGGGAAAGCATGAATTCGAACGAAAAGAGCTCCGAATTGCCGTCAGACGTGCGAAGAAAGAGCACTGGAATACAAGAATCGAAAAATCGGAGTCTCTCCAGAGGTATTTAAGATTGTTAATTGGCACAACACTCCGTCCAAGTATGAGACACCACCACTAAAGGGACCAGATGGGGAGCCCAAAATCCAGAACCCGAAAGAAAAAGCAGCACTACTCCATAGAGTGCTCCTCTCCCGACATCTGGAGACAACAGATATCCCAGAAGAAACCCCCTCGGTAGCATCGAGGCGTATTCCTTGGCAACCATTCTCTGAGTAAGAATCGTTCCGGGCAACCTGTCAGGTATCTTCAATATCACCAGGGGAGGATGAAATAACGGCTCCTATTATTCGACTCTCATGGCCAATATTAGGGGAGCGGATAACTAGGCTTTTCAATAAATGCGCAGTACACGGGGTACATCCAAAGATATTCAAGCGCGCACACATTGTTATTTTGCCAAAATCTGGAAAACGGAATCTAACACTACCTAAATCATACCGACCTATTGCTCTTCTTTACTGTCTTGGAAAAGGACTTGGACGGCTCTTCGCACGGCGTCTCTCTTTCTGCTCCTTGAAGTTTGATATCCTAGGTAGGGACTAGTGTAGTGCAATAAGCCGAAGGTCAGCTACGGATCTAACGACAGCATTGGTATGTGATGTTAATGAAGCACTCCGCAAGGGGAAAATTGCAGTTATGGTGACGGTTGATGTGAAAGGGGCCTTCGATGGGGTGCTGCGAAACCGACTCCTTTTTCGACTGAGGACTCAGGGATGGCCGGAGAACGTAGTGCAATGGGTAAGCTCCTTTTTTCAAAACCGGTCGGCAAGAATCAGACTCGATCGAGAAGTATCAGACCCTTTTCAGATTCTATGTGGTCTACCACAAAGATCTCCAACATCGCCCATTCCATTTCTTCTCTATGTAGAACAAGTCATGCGCCTTGCACGCGGATGTTTCGGCTATGCAGATGATATCGCAATGTTCGAAACAGGCCCAAATCTTGAGGAATGCAGTCAGAGACTATAGTTACGACTGACAAGAACTCTACAATGGGGTAAGGACAACGGTATTCAGTTTGAAACAACGAAGACTGAGCTCCAATATTTTCATAATTAGAGAAAATATCAGGAACCTCCCTTAATGATGGGGGACACCTTAGTTCTTCCGAATGATCACACACGCTGGCTTGGGATAGTCTTTGATAGGAAGCTATCATTCAAGGAACATGTACGGCGAGCCTGCCAGCGCTGTCGAGTGGCCACCGACCATTTCAAGAGACTATGTAACACTGTGAAAGGTGCCCAACCTGCTCTTCTGCGGCAAGCCTTCCAAGGTATAGCTTTTGCATCACTTTTCTACGGAGCTGAGACGTGGTATGGACCAAAAACGTCCAAGTGGGCAATAGATCAAGTCCAAAGAGCAGTTAATAGAGCAGCTCGAGCTGTATTACCAGTGTATAAAACTACCCCTGTCCCAGCACTTTTGCGGGAAACTGGATGGCCTCCAGCAACTATCTGGCTAGAAAGAATACACGATCGCTTCGTAAATAGAGTTGCCTCAGCTGACCCTAAGCACCCCTTACGAAGCTGTTGGAATACAAAAAATCTCCAATGGATTAGGAGCCACCAAAAAGTCGAATTGTTGCTGGACACTATCACCCCCCCTTGGCTTAGTCTTGATAGGAGTAAAGCAAAGGAAGAGATTGGAGCTATTGGCCGAGAAAAAAGTCTGATGGAATATCGAAATTGGGAGCAAAGACAGAGACACAATTTGTTAAATATTTTCATATATTCAGATGGGGAAATGAATAAAGAAGGAGAGGCAGGCAGTGCGGATTGCATCTACCGGGGACCAAACTCAGAAATTACAAATGCGAAGATTCCCCTCGGTCGGACTGCAGAATTATTTGATGCAGAAATTATTGGGGCAGTCGAGGGGCTAAAAGCAGCCATGGCACATTGTATGGCCAAATACGCTACAAATATAGTGGTATATCTGGATAATGAAGAAGCGGCACTACGATTGCACTCTGGCTACCTAAGCCCATCCAGCTCGGTCAAGATTGCAGAATTTCAGGAACTGAGGAAAAATTGGAAGAGTAGAGTGCACTCTTCGAGAAAGGTAGAGGGTGCGGTGAAAGTACAATGGGTTCCGGGTCACGTAGGGATCAAAGGAAACGAGCGTGCAGACGTATTAGCCAGGGAGGCCTGCAGCGAAACAACGACACGGACAAAAGCTTCGATATACCGAGCCAAAAGCCTCATAAAGGAGCGGCACGAGAGTAGCATCATCCAATTTTGGAAGGATCACGCTCCGAGTAGATATAGGAGTCTGAAGATACCTATGACAGGACAAATGCCCGAGGAATTGCAGATTTTATCTCGGAAAAGTCTCGCGTTACTCCTTGCTGCCCGCTCCGCTCACGGAGATTACGCCACGTATCACAGACGCCAAGCTATTGTGTATCTGTGTAGAAGCAAAGGCTCCGGAACATCCCTTTGCATGTGTTACGGTTTACCCGTTGTTTAAGCTTAGGTGAATACCTAAGCGCATTGTTGAGGACTCTGAGGATAAGACTGTTGGGATCGAAGCAATGTCATAGCACAGTGAATATGGGCAATGCGTAGCCGTGCGGTAATTATTCGACCTAAGGAAAGGTATAAGCAACGAGACTCATAGAGTGGACAAAATGTTATAAGTACCTTGTAGCTGTAGTTAGATTTCTCTTCTTCATAGAGTTTATTAAATCGATTTTTTCATTACCAACTCGGTTTCTATCACAGCATGCAGGAAACTTGACCAAAGTAAAACTCCGAGACCACGTCCATCTCGGGGTAAGGAGGGGGACATCATGTGGATCCTCGGCGCAACAATAGGGGCCAAAGAATTTGGTAAATGGTGCAACACAGCTCATCTATACAAACAACAGCTTCTCACAGTGTAGAAGCAAGATTAGTGGTGACATTGATAGGATTGCCTTGAAACAACTGCCTAAATTTGTAATTTAATCATAGTAATTAAAAAAAGGGGGGGGGAGTATTAAGGAGTTAGGCATTGAGGAATTTACACGAATAGAGTGGCCTAGAGCTTTACCTTGCATTAATATCGAGCATTAATTGCGAAAAAAGGGAGGATACAGTAGTTTTTTTAGACAATAGAATTGTCCGATAGTAATAGGCTATGCGGACACGCCAAACGCCCATTCTTGTGCATAGAGGCCGGGTCATACCCGTGAGCCTACTTGGCGTTAAATGCAAACAAACAAACAAACAAATCTTCATGCTTCGCTCCGCTTCTGACCTTACCACAGCTCTCGCTTGTGATATTCAGGCAAAATGGGCGGAAAAGAAAATAGCTGGTGTAGTGACTGTTGATGTCCAAGGGGCATTTGATGGTATCCAGAAAGGACGACTCTGCCATCGACTTCGAATCCAAGGATGGCCACCGAACGTGGTTCGCTGGGTGGCATCTTTCATGGAAGAGTGGGATCCTCAATCTCTATTGAAGATACTATCTCTCCGCCCTTCCAAACTCACTGTGGTCTCCCACAGGGCTCACCTGTATCTGTTGGAAATGAAGTATAATATTATTAGTAATGATTACCTTCATTACGTAATAGGTTCCCAACGCAATCCCTATACTCACTATCTACACACTAGTTTGGTTTCCTCAG